TGGCAGAGTGTATACAGTGTGAATACTTTGGGATGGCTCATGTCCTCAGCAGGGCAGAGAGGAAGAGCAAGAGATTTAAACTTAAGAACTGTTTACTTCTGGAATTTTCCACTTAATATTTTTGGACCACAGTTGACTATAGGTAACAAACTGCAGAAAGCAAAACCGTGGATAAGGGGGGACTATTGTATAAAAAAAGACTACTTTATTATTAATGAAATTCTTAATGCCTTTGATCTATATCTGCACTGTCCAAAACAGTAACCATTATTCTGGCTGCAGTGGACATATTTCAAGTGCTCAACAGCCACCTGTCACTGTCAGCTACTGTATTAGGCAGTATAGATATAGAACACTTCCAAAAATTACAGAAAGGTCTACTACTAGATAACACTGATATGGAGTTTGGGAGGCCAATTGACATTATGAATAACTAAAGGCCAAAGAGTCCTATGGACTTTGGACTAATACACCCAACATTGCAAGGCTGCTGAAAAGATCAAATAAAAATGTATGTAAAATGTCTAGGACAGAACATTTGGCACACAGTAAATATCTGATAAACATTAGGTGTATTCTTTAATGCGGGTGGATAATTTCCTAATCTTACTATCCTGCTTATTCAAAAGGTCAACACTGACCCTACTGACTACTCCCCCCTTGAAACACAGGCCTACCTTGGAGGTTTGTGGGTTTGGTTCCTGACCACAGCAATAAAGAAAGTCATAATCGTTTTGTGGGTGGAGGATCTTTTTCTTCAATTTGTAAAGAACAACTGTGAAGTGCAATAAAGCAAAGCACAATAAAATGAGATATGCCCATACTCTATCCTTTGGTGTCTGTAATACCACTCATCTTCCTACTTCTCTGACTTTCACAGTATTCTTTGGGAGCTCATATTGCTCCAGCAAACTTTTTTTTATGTTAGAAGCCATTATGATTCCATTCTAGCATCTCTTTTTTTCCAAGTTATATCCCCTTCCCTAGGCAATTCCACCTATATAGTTTCAACTACCTATGTAAGTGACTTGAACTTTCTATTTCCAAACCTTCCTCTATTCTGAATTTTAGAACCATGTATCTAATTGCCTACAATCATTTCACCCTGAAAGTTCCAAAGGCATGGTCAAACCCAATGTCAGAATCAAAAGAACCATGGCTCTTATTTGGTACCACCACCATCCCGGTTGTTTAACTCAGAAGCCATCTTTGAAATTTTTCTCTCCCTCCCTCCGATCCATCAACTGAGACCTAGTGATCACAAATCCTGTTCACTGTTGCCCATCTCCACATTTCTCATCCTAATCCAAGCTGATTTTCCCACATCCATTCTTACCTCCTCTCCTCCCTTTCAATACATAGCACCACAATACTAGTTCTGCCTTCTGGGACTATCAAAATTCAATCTAGTTTGGCTTCTAAACATTTTAAACAGTAAGTTAGTTATACCATTCTCTACTCTTAGCTAAGCATTCTTACTTCCTTCTAGTCTTACATACCTGTTTCAAGGTCACATTCTGTCATACTCTCCTCTAAAAATGTGGACCCCCCCCACTGAACGTAAAGCATGGATTGAAGTAACTTAGTAGTTCATGCAAAAACTGAGACTTGCATAGTCTAAAGTTTCAAACTATAATTACTACTGTTAATGTTCTTAAAATGTTTCCAGCTCAAAGGATAATGAGTTTTACTGTGGTTGAGAAGGGAAGCCATTTGAGAAATGACAAGACTGACAAATTTTAACAGGATAACTCTCGCTGTTGAGACTATAGGTGAACAAAGGCCAGTGAGACTTTTTAGGAAGCTATTTTGCAAGGGAGAAATGATGATAGTGTTTTCACATTTTATATTGAAACTTTATGTGCCTAAGTACTAGTAATTAACAAAGCCACAACTTAAAAAAAACACACAAAAAACTATAAGGACAATGCAAAGATGAGTTTGTTCTTGGGAACAGCAACAGATGATACTGGGCATTTTAACTCTGGGCTCTACTCTATGCTACTAACAGTTATCAAGATAAGGTGCAAGGCTATTATTTTATTCTTCAGGACAGGGGACATAATTAAGAATGCAGGTTTTAAGCTTCTTTATTTCATGAGTCAAGATTCAATTTACATCACTAAAAGACAAGGGCAAGCATGGCAAAGCTTGCTAAAAAAGTTACAATGAATGAACATCCTAAAAAAGGATAACCTTGTATTACTTTTATGTCTGCTACTCTCTTATTCTCTTGAGTTCAGTATTAGGTTGATGAGTAGTATAATATTGAACACTCTTACTTATTACTAAAAGATGCTATTGATGGTGAATCAATTATATCATATAATGGCACTGATCCTCTCTCTCCGCTAATTACCAGCACAGCTTTTTCAAGAAAATTGCCTAAGCATTGGTTAGGGCCCAGAGAATGTTGGGGAAGTGAGTGAGTGACCCCTGAAGAGTTTCATTCAGTCTTAACCCAAGAACCCCTTTACCATCACTGAAAAACATACAAAAAAATTCCCCTTAAAAATTTTCCCCAATACATTAGGAATATTTTTTTATTTTCCTCTGCAGTTTTCTTCCCCCCTGACGTACTAAAGAATGTCTTTACAGCATGAGTACACCAAGAGTAAGCAACCAACCAAATGTTGCCCCACTAAATCTCAAAATGTAACTCAAATTCTCAGGCAAAAGGGTCGCTATTTGAATGTGAAACAAAGTGATTGATATACTTGCAAGCACACACAAAAAAGCGAAAAAGTGCAGCAACAATAAGAATTGCTAATTAAAAAAAACCTCTTATAGTGCAGAAAAATAATATAAAGTAAATTCAGATTATCTTTGGTATGGCAATATGAAACAAAAAAATCCAAAGACAATTTCAAAATTTCATTCCTTTTGCCCAATAAATTAAAACGACGAAACAAAAGTCCCACAAACATTTTATTGCAGCTTTTAACCAATAACAAAAAAGTGAGATGATGAAGCCAACTGCCAAAGAAACAGGAACGAGAAAGCAATGATCAGGAAACTTCATTATACATGAAAAATTTAATACTATTACCAGTAAAATACAAACACCACCTGTTACTTAAGAATATTTTGCCCTCAATATTCAGCTGCCAAGCTAAGTAGTCACTTGTATGAATTAACTTCTCTTTTAAAAATTGAAAAATACTTTATAACATGCTTTTTCCAAAATTCCGTGAAAATTCCCAAATTGGGAAAAATGTTAAGATCAGCATCTACTAGCTAATTAAACCTTTCTGATCATGTTCGCTTAAATATCTCAGTTCACTGGCAGTGTGATAAAGACGATCGTGAAAATGTAATCCAAAATGAATGAAAAACGCTCAACTCGGAGACATTGTACGTAATGCGGTATAGAAATATATCGGGAGTATTTTAAGGTTCAACATGTGAATCTGTGCAGGTTTTAATCAACTCCTCAAAAAAAGACGTTTACTTTTTTAAAACAAGTTTTCAAAACGTGTGTCGGTGGCCAGCCCGCCAGCAACCTGAGCGTCTCCCGCGGCTCCGAATCCCCAGGTCGGAGGAGGAGCGACTGCTTTCGCTAAGCTGAGACCTCCCGGCCCTTTTGTAGTCAGCCCAGGAAACAAACGGGTTTTAAACTTTGGGGGTCGGAGAACAGTTTGAAATTCAGAGCCTGGGGTGGACGCCGACGCTGGAAGGAAGCGCCGGCCCTTCCCCATCCGTGCGCTGGAGGTCACGGCGCAGTAAAGTTTGGTTTCACTAGCGGGCTCCGACGCCACCGACAAAAGCAAAGTCTCCCAAGTCGAGCGGACACCGGGGTCGGGGAGCTCCCGGAA